GAAAAAACTTGTGTGCATTTTGTGTTATACTCCAGAATATAGACACTTTTGTTTAATGTAAAAAATATGACTCCTCTACCCACCCTTCAACCAAAGATAACGTTCCAAAAGATGATTCTTATTTCGTCTGTAACTCGGAGCATCCCTGGCACCCCAGTTGCATAGCCCTGATACTATAAGATCCAGAGAAACCCAAACCAGTGGAGCCTCTGTTCCTAGAACAAAAGGAGGAGGTGTCCTTCTATATCTTTGTTGGAGGCAAGTCCAGTGTCAACATAGAAACCCAGGATGGTGAAACAGTTCGCCTGGGTCATGTGAAAGCTGTTTCAGAGTCAAGACTTGAACTCAGGACTCCTCATCCTGGCCCGAAGGCTGTTCTGCTACAGCTGAGCAGAACAACAGACTTTTGATCACTTTGTCACTCAAGGGAAGATGTCCCCAACCCCAAGAAATATTTACGAATCACACAGACCCATGGAGAATCTGATTAAAGTAAGACTGGCAGCTGTGGCCCTCAACTTTTCCTGGCAAACAGGAGTGCTGCAGGAAAGAAGCCAGAGAAAAGGAGCCAGGCGAGGATTCGAAGGCCACTGCTGGGGAGGAAAATTGTTTGCTGAAAATCTGGCATCTTGCTTTGCAGCTGTGAGATGAATAGCACATGGGAGTCAGGAAGACACGATCCGATCCGTTGACTAACGTATGTGGTACACAAAGAAGTCGTTTCACAGACCCACGAATCTTTTCGTAGCTTGAAGTCACTTTTTTTTTTTTTATATATGAGTTTGGCCCTTAAGATGTTCCTTAGTCTTATTTCAGTCTTAAAGAAAACACAAGGAAAAAATGATTCATTGAAACAAAATATTTATTTTTATTTCTTAGAGGAAGCAAAAGGTGGCATTCACTTTTGATGAATTGCTACAAGGAGGGAAAGATGAAGCAAATCCTAGCTGAAATGGTTTGTCACCCCCATAAATGGAACTTTTGTGTTAGATGACAGCTTTCCAGAAATATAGCAATATATAGGGGGAAAAGGTGAAATGGTTTGCTTTCAAGAAAAAAAAAGATAGTGTTTGTGTATCTGTGGCTTTCTTCCTTCACTTTCTGTTCTAAGATGCTGAAGTTTTATTCATGTATATCACTGAATATTTTTGAGTCATTAGTTCAAGTTCATGGTGATTCCCTTATA